TTTAAAAGTACACAAGATGCTGGAATGAGGTGCATCAGTATCTGAAAGAGAGGTAAGATACTGTTCTGAAAGGTCACACCCCAAATTGTTAATCTCTTGCCCTCTTTCAGATTCTGATTTGGAATTGCAGTATTTTCTGTTTGTATTGCAGATTTCCAACAGCTGCAAATTTTGTGTTTTTTTTAATCTGTTCTGAGACTACATAACAAACCCTACCACTGTCATTCCTCCACACACACATATTGCATTGAGCCGCAAAACAGAGATAAAATTAACTTAATTTTGGTAGAGATTAGGGGAAAATCGGAATTGAATCTCAAACTCAAAGATTAAAGGACAATGTTCTGAAGCAACCATGTGCTGTGCTGAACAGCTCAACAGCTGAAACTGACTAGATGACCTATAAATGAGGAAGTCCTAAGCACCTTACAATCAGCCTCAAAAGTGCAAGTATTCCCGGTCTCACATGGGAAACAAGAGCAACTTCCATTTATATAGCACCCTTCATGCCGGGTAGCATCTCGATGCTCTGAACAATTGCACAGTTTGAGGCTGAGCTGGGGAGAAAGCGGAGGTGACCTCCCACCTGTTTGTAGGCACAGTCGAAAAGGAGAGTCTTCAAGTGTGATCTCAAGATGGGCAGAGGGGCAAGGTAGAGGGATTCAGGAAGGAGTTCCAGACTTTGAAGCATAGTTCCTAAAAGCATGGCTGCTGAGAGGTCAAGAGATGCACGGAAGGCCCGATCTGGCAGAGCAAAGGGACAAGTGTAAGAATGGGGTGTGAGCAGGTTGAAAAGTTAGGAAGGTGCTTAGGCATCAAGTGATTTGTAGGCTTATGTGAGGATATTGAAGTCAATCTTTTCTCTGACAGGGAACCAATGGAGACTGGCAGGGACTGGGGTGATGAGAATGCGGAGTTTGGTATGGGTGAGGATATTAGCAACAGACGTTTGAATCAATTGGATATCTATGATCCTGCACATTCCGACACTTGTAGCATGTTTATCGAAGAGCCAAAGAACATTTTTAAAGAATATTCACTACAGGTTTATAGTACACAAAAAAATAGTTCAAGTTGTTCTCTGGCGCCACATTGTCATTTTTATGTTGGCATCTGTAGAAACATGATTTCAGTTTAATTGCTGATTTTGCCCTAAAGTGATATGCATGGAAAACAATAAATAGAGACATTCGGATCTATTGCACACTAATAAGAAATCATACTACAAATAAATAATTAAAAGATTGCTACTCTTGGTGATCGGTGTGTGACAGATCCCTATGATTTACTTCATTTTTCATTTTATTAGTACCTCACTGGATGCATGTTATCTATATCAAGCAAATATACTGTACTATAAATAATAAATATGTGCTTCTTGTATTCTTAATGAAAGAAATTCCAACAAATGGAAAGAGATTTCAAATTGCAGCAGCTCCATTGGAGTTAACTGATAAGGTTGTACAGTATGTACTGTACTTCAGTCCTACCTGTGAAATTTATTTTCTACTTCCCCCGACAGTTTGATTTTCAATTGTTCCCCTTCTCAGTGTTTCTGCATTTTGTTCCCACAGCCTAACTCCTTCAAGATTTACTGATAAGAAATTTGATGAAGAAGGCTAACTTCAGTTCTCTCTGAGATGGCAAACAATTTATGTAACCAAATTGATAAACTGAGATTAGCAACTTGTCACTCACTCAATCGTAAAGTGAATGGATTCCTAAGAAACACTTGGTGCTATATCATAATCCTTGTATTTGATACAGTGGCTTTAATGTCAAAAAGTGCTTCTCAGGTAACTTCTAATGAATAAAATGCTTATGTATTTGCTGGGAGATAATGCAGTCAATTTGTACACAGCAAAGTCTCAAAAATAACCGTGAAGTGAATGTCCTTTTTGTATGGAGGATTTTTGATTAGGACATCTTTTTGAATAGTGTCATATGATCTTTAAATACACCCAAAAAGACAGAAAGGGCCTTGAGACCCTGTTCTCTAACTATCACCCCATCTCCAAACCCCCTTTCCTTTACAAGAGTCGTTGCTTCTCAGCTTTGCTCCTTGCTCTTCCCCACTTCCTGCACAAACAATAACAACAACAAAATTACATTGTACAGCACCTTTCACGTCGGAAGGACATCCCAAGGCGCTGGACAATCAGTGTTTTGGACCCGAGCTGGGGGTCAGGATCAGGGAGGGTGGAGGGCAGAGGAAGGGGAAGGGGGGTGACTGGTGGTCAAAGAGGAGGGTCTTGAGATGGGTCTTGAAGGAAGCAAGATAGGGGGCGAGGCGAAGGAACTGTAATATGTAGTTCCAGAGGGTGGGGGCAAGTGGCAGAATGTCCGCCCACCTATGGTGCGGCAGGCGAGGCGGGGGACGTGAAGCAGGCAGGAGCCCCCTGAGTGTAGAGAGTGGGCAGGTTGGTAGGGGGTTAGAAGGTCACAGAGATAGGGGTGAACAAGGCCATGGAGGACTTTGCGAGCTGAGTACCAGGATCTTGAACTGTATCCTCTGTGTGACGGGAAGCCAGTGGAGTTGGGCGAGGATGGAGTGATAGGGTCACGGAGCCTTGTGCGGGAGAGGACACGGGCTGCAGAGTTCTGGATGATCTGCAGCCTATGGAGGGAGTTGGGGAGGCTGACAAGCAGGAAGTTTGCGTAGTCGAGCCTGGATGTTATGAATGCATGTTTGAGGGTCTCGGTGGCCTGCGGTGCAAGACAGTGGTGGAGCTGGGTGATGTTGCGGAGGTGGGGGAAGGCAAAACGGGACATGGCACGGATGTGGGGTAGGAAGGATAGTTGAGGGTCAAACAAGATGCCAAGTTTCCAGACTGGCTTAGTAAGGTGGAGTGTGCATCCTTGGATGGTGATGCTGTCAGTGCCTGAGGCGCTGTCACGAGCCAATCAAGAGGGCTTTGGTCTTGTTGACATTCAACTGTAGAAAGATAGCTCTCATCCAGGACTTGATGGCTGACTAACATTCAGTCAGGACAACAGTGGTCCTGGATTCGAGGGTGGAGGCAGAGAGATAGAGTTGGGTCTCATCCGAACACATGTGAAGTTGACCCCATGTCTGCGGATGATGTCACCAAGAGGGAGCCTATAGACATTGAAAAGGAGGGGACCAAGGACCAAGTTCCTGAGGAACTCTGCACGAGACAGTTCGGGAGCTAGAGGAGAAACCATTTGTGAAGATGAAGTGGAGACGGTGTGAGAGGTAGGCTTTGAACCATTCAAGGACAGAACCACGAAGCTTGCGGTGAGAGGAAAGGCAGTGGTGGAGGATAGAGTGGTCAATGGTATCCAAGGCAGCAGAGAGGTCAAGGAGGATGAAGAGGCAGAGGGAGCCTTGGTCGTAGATGGACAAAATGTCATTTGTCACTTTGACAAAAGCTGTTTCTGTGCTGTGGGTGGCAAAGAAACCCGATTAGAGCGGTTTGTGGAAGGGTGTGGCGGGAGAGGAAGGAGCAAAGCTGGGAAGCAACGACTCATTCCAGGACCTTGGAAAGGAAAGGGAGGTTGGAGTTAGGGTGGTACTTTGAGAGCAAGGATGAGTCCAGGGAAGGCTTTTTAAGCATAGGAGTGATGACAGCTGTTTTTAGAGAGGTGGAAACGGTGCCAGTGGACAGGGAGAGGTTTATGATGTTTGTGAGTAGGGGGGCGTAAGGAGGTGGAGTTGTGAGGTAAGGGAAGGGGTAGGTATGTGGTCGAGGGAGCAGGTGGTCAGTTTCATGTAGGCTTTGGTGGTGATGAGTGAGAAGGGGAAGACTGGTTCAAAGGTGTGGAGGGAGGGATGGGTAGGGGCCGGGGTGTGAGGGGGAGATGGTGAAGGTGTAGTGGTCAGAAGGGCAGAGGCAACTGAGTGGATCCCCTTGCCTTTCGTTTCGAGGAAGTCCAGCATCTGCTCCCAGTTAGAGTTGGAGGAGACGATGGGCAAAGCATGAGAGGCAAGGCGGAAGAGCCTGTTGGTGATTGAGAAGAGGAACCTGGGGATGCCTCAAAGATTGTCTTGGAGTAGAAGGATGATTTAGTGGAGGTGAGGGTGGAGCGGTAAGATTTGATAAGGTCCAACCAGATCTCTCGCTAGATTGTTAAGTTTGATTTGAGCCAGGTGCGTTAACAAATTCTGGGTTTCCGTTCTGCCCCAAGCATAGAAACAGCCTTGGTCAAAGTGATAAATGACATTTCGTCCATCTGTAATCCCCTAGTACTACACTGAAGTGTCAGGCCAGCCTATGAGCTCCAAATCTCCAACTCGGGACTTGAACCCATAACCTTCTGATTCAGAGGCAAATACTAGCTAAGCTGACACTTCAGACATCCAGAATGACTGGTTTTCTTTCCCCTACCCTTACAGTCTGTGTTGATCCTTTCTCTGAATAGGTCACTATCTTCTTCCAGTTTGATGAACTTAACCATAGGCATCTAAAGATGAGCTCCAAATACTGATACCGCGATTGTTACAATTTGCAATGCTTAACCCAGTGATTTCAAACTTTCAGAAACACTGTGACACACAAAGAATTCTGACACTGGTCACACTGATCAACAATCAGCAGAATTCAAGCACAAAACAGTAGGGGCTTAAGACCTCCTGAGAACTTGTCGAGAAGTAGGAGATACCATCATGAAGTCTGGAGACTCTTGAATGTTCCAGAGTGGTCGTGGTCACTGTATTTCAAAGAATGGAGCAGTCAGTTTATGATAACGGAATGATGAGCTGCTGTGTGGTACAATGTATGAATATTACTTGATCTGAAAGGGGATACTGCACTTTGAATCCAGTGATTAAGTTGTGAAGTGTACCACCATAAACACTATATAGACAGCACAAATGTGCACAAATGTTTCAGCTTTGTAAAAAATAGTGATTCAAAGTTTCCCTTATTGAGCTTACGTTTCACTCTCCTCAGTCTTCCTACAAGAAAAAAACACTTTCTTTGAAAAGCAGACACCATCAGCCAGAAAGCTCTGGTGGCTTTAAAGTTCAGTCCTTTAGTTCATTCAGTTTTCTCAGTTTTGCCATCTTTTTGCAGCATTTCCGAGCTCTTGCGCATTGATGCTTTGTCTGTGTTGCCATTGCCCTGGCCAGTCTCAGGTAAGCCTCCATTTTTAGTGACTGTGTGCTTATCCAGGTAGTTCAGCATTTCACTGAGGACAGTTTGGAATGTGCTGAGAGCAGCGCAGATAGCAGGAGTACCAAATCCATGGGTGATCAGGCTGCATTGGATTTAAAAACAGATTAATATTAAAATTCATGCTGACATATGCTTGTTAACCACAACCTCACTATAACAGTACAATACAATTTACATTTATTTAGTGTCTTTTACGTCAGGAGGATGCCAGAAAGAGCATACCAAAGAACATTATTAGAAATATTTCATTTTTGATATGTGGGAACCTGAAATTCTATTTTTGGCTTCAGCTGTAAAATCACTTTACCCTAAAATTTTAGTTTTCACTGCATTGAAGACAGTTTTAAAATTTGGTCTTGATTTGGAAGCTAATTTTCTGCAGTTCTTAAAAGGACTGGCTTCCAAATTCAAGCTGTCTGATCTTGAAACTTAAGACAAGATAGTCTCAGAGCCCAAATCTAGGTGGGATTTCAGGCCTCTAATTCCAATGAAGGTATCCTCAAACCATAACTGTTTCATGACATGAAGAATTATTTCACTGGTCAAGTGCCTTTCAGTTAGAAAACATCTGGAAGTCAAACAGCTTTATTCATTGAAATGTAGTTATCCAAGGTATGTTGCTAAGATGATGGTACCAGCTAACTACGTATTCCACATGTTAATTAAGACTCAGACATTCACCTGAAATGTGTTAGATGTCTCTGAACATCAAGATCTAGAATTGGAGTTGGTCTAGAGGATCCCAGGGGTGATCTGTCCTGGCTTAATAAATCCTGAAATTCCTTACAGATTTGCCTGAAATACAAGAAGTACCACGTTTTAATACATTTTAAACCTAGCTTATTCCTTTATATCATTTGGATGCTCAGACATTGGCCTAGATAAGACATGAAATGAAAAACTTACAAAAACTCAACATGACAAAAAGAGGAGAAACTGCAATGAATTCTTGTGTGTCACAGTGGAATACATAGGGTTCATTGAAGGAGATATACTTCACATCTCGTGGTGCTTTTTCTAGCTTCAAGAAGGCATTTACATTGTCATTTTCTGATGAATCTTTTTAACTCCTCTCCTGAAAACCTATGCTGTCGGGCCAGAGGTTGAGTATACTGTTCAAGCGCATAATGGCAACTCTGGTTTCATTGCTGTCACACAGAATCACTGTAAGTCACAGTCCCCAAGTAATCACAGAAGGTGAATTTGACTGAAACTAAATACAAATCAAATTCAATATATTTTACACAATAACAATCAGAATTATTTCAGGTAACATCGTCAACTATGACAAATCTGCCCTTGTGTTTCATGTTGTTTCTGACCAGCATGGTAATTCCTGTTCTTTACATTAGAAAAGAGGAGACAGCACTCTTTCCTCTGAAAATTAATTGAGTAAATTCCTAGACTTTAAAAATAATACTATAATATTTAGAAGTACTGTCATGTGTAACATTAAGGAATAAAATCTCTCCCTTCACCTCAGTCATAGAGCAGGGAGCACTTCATTGTGTCAGAGCAATGGGAGAGGATTTGTAATTGCTTGGAACTGATTTGAGGGAAGCTTGTGAATAGGATCGTGGAAATGTCAGCAAATGAGACCATTGTACCTGTATTTCGACCGCTCAATGAACAATCTATTCCCATATCACTGCTTTTCCTCTTTATTCCCTGATATCTCCAATTTTTAAATGTTTGTGCAATTCCCCTTTAAGTGTTGCAATTGTCTCAGCCTCAACAGACACTCATGGAAATTCATTCACATCCTCACAACCTTTCGTCTAAAAACAATTTTTTAACCTCGCCCTTTATGCTTCCAGTAACAATCATAGGTGAATTGGTTTGGATTCACCTATCATCGTTTTGACTGCTTCTATCCGATCTCCTCTTAAACTTCTCTGTCCCAGTGAACACAGACATAGTATTTTAATAGCTTTAATAAGAGTTATATTCTCTCACCCTCAATATCATCTGAGTTAATCCACATCTTAACAACCTTTTAAATACAGCAATCTTTTAATCAGTCTCTTTTTGCTTTTACTTTGCTCCAGCTGTTGGTAGTCTAACATAGGAAGATACAATATATTGCATAATACTGCAAAAGATCATTGCAGTCCAACTGGCCAATCCAAAGTTGAACAGAAATCAATTAGAGACTGGAGTTTTTCTTTATATATTTCACAATCATTTTTGTAGCATAGAGTAGAATTGATGAGGTTCCCAGGACTAGAGATTATATGTCTCATTGTTTGGAATAAACAAAATATTTGGAACTTTTTCTGTATTTTGGTTTTTAGTGCAACTGTGTTCCTTGAAGGCTTTCAATAAAAAAAAATCATCTCAGGATACATCATCGTTCAAAGGAAGGAACAGGAAAAGATTTCAAAACCCACCCCATAATTCAGACTATTAAGATGTTTCAGACACCCACTCGACCCACTCTTTCCTGTGGAACTCTTTTCCATTGATGCAGAGATTTAACAAGTATTGGGCTCGCTACTGTACAGGTCATTTTAATTGCACTGTAATGCCTGCACGGTCAGCTAAGCTGTCAATCACACCAATCTGATGGCAAGTAATGTAATTCTTTAAAAAAATCAATATACAAATTCTAAGCTATGGCAGCATATCAGAGACCTACATACAAGCTGTGTCTCGAACACATGAATTGATTTTTAAGACTCAGGCAGCCCCAGACGTCTATGCCCAAGAAACTGTATTTACATTCATTTTATTGGAAAATTGCATATGCTCCAGTCAAATAAAGCCGCCGGGAAGCTGCACTCAACAAACATTTTAAATGGATTTTTATGTTTTATATTTTCATTTCATCTTTAATTAGCATGATGCATCAGAGTTCTGGTCTGGGCTATTTCTTAAGAATGGTTTATGTATGTCAATAAAACTGATGATACTTGATATGCGAAAGTCATTTAACTCAGAAAGCACAGAGTCTGACCTCAAGGGAAGCTTTCTGATGAACCCTTAATGTTGACATTCCCTCAAACTCGGGCAAATCTTCATTTATAAATTTTATTGCATAAAATCTGCAAGAAAGATACTTGATGAAAAATTATCATCCTGAATGTAACATAGGGTGAAGGGAATAGAAGTAGAATACATAGAAAAGTGGAAAGCCTTTATATGAATTATATTACACAAATAAAAAGTATAAAATTAATTCATACATCTCCTGCCTCTATTGTGGGTGCATACTCTTTTTTAATTGAAAAACCTAATCGATGGGCCAAGACCTATAATGCAGGATGTTAAATGCCAGAGAGAAAGCGAGTTCTGTAGCTCAGTAGTTAGAGCACTCGCCTCACAAGCGAGAGACGTGGGTTTGATTCCCGGCAGGGCGAAACCTTGAGCAAGTTTCCTTATTCCACACGCCTGATAATAATCCCTCAAAAAAACAATAGAATTGGTTACTTCCATCCACGACTGTTTGTAGGACACTGCTGTGCGCAATTGGCTGCCCGTTTCACCCACAAATATACAGTCAATTCACTTTACAGTCTATTCTGTGAAGTGTTTTGAGACATCTAGAAGACGTGAAAAGCACTATATCAAATGCAATGATTAATATTATTATTATTTAATAACTAATTGTGAGGTGATGCCAACCTTGATATTTAATAGCTTACAGATTGTTAGTGGAAGAGAAATTGAGTTTGACATTCTCCAGTGAGTTCCAGAGGATGAAATGGAAACACGTCTGTGTATCTGCAGGATTCACAATTTACAACTTATTTTGTGAATCTCATATATTTGGACCCTAATTTGCACTTAGAACACAATTTTGAATTATTTCAATCACTGCACTCAGTGGTCGGAGGGTTTTTTGCGCTTAGTATCAGAAAATTAGATACACTGACAATACAATCAGGATCAGACTGGCTATTTGGGAAATTGGGATATTTCCTCAGTGCTCCTGTTGCCCGAGCGCCCCTGTGAAAATAGCAGTGCCATCGTCAGCTGCTCAGGAATCGACTGACAGTCATCAACTATTGTGTACCCGCACGTCAGACTTATAGGCAAACAGTTCAGGTGCAGTTACTTCCCTCCTTATGCAGATGCTCTCCACACCTTGATGTGGTGCATGGTGAGATAGCCGGGGAGCCTAGAGGAGAGGACAACCAATGTCCACACCAAGGTGATGGTGATTTTGTTAGCAACCCACCCCCATCCACCAGACCAGACACTCTCATCCCTAGCCTGGGGGGCTGGAGGTGGCTGTGGCAGTTCTGGGGGTCGGATGGTACTGATATGGTAAGGTGGTGCCTGCCTTTCGTGTTGTTTTATGCTTTTTGACATTGGTGCACCTCACGAATTGGCACCCTTCTTCTTCCATGAAAATACCAAGTTCTTTCAGGAAACCAGTCTACCACTGAATACAGCGCTCACCTAACACACTCCATTGGAGCATCAGCCTAGATTGTGGGTTAAAACTCCCAACGTAACGTTTGAACATACAGTCTGACTCAAGGACGAGAGTGCTAACTGAGTCAGACTACAACCACTTGGAAAAATGTCAATCAACAATACTTGTGAATCCATATTCGATTATAAGTCACCACCAACATCTCACCAAAAAATTGAGAGAAAGCCCATTCTTACTTTGTTGCTAGGATCATTTTTTTCCTTGGTGTCTGTTCTTTGGGCTCCAGATGTTGTCGGGCCAAATGTTCACCCACTGCTTTGGCAGGAAACTCTGTCTCACAGGTATAACCAAAGTCCCGGGCCAAATGGAGGGCCTCACCTTGTAGGGGGAAAAGAAATTTAACCTTAACTCAGAGAACGAATGTATTCAGAGTATTGTGTAACTATTTCATGGTTTTAAAAATACTGTAGATTCAATAAAACACTGTCATTGGATCTTGAGTGATAAATACGTGAACCCAACTTGAGGCCTGAGTTCACATAAAAGCTGGGACTGATGTTCAAACAGAGCTTTCATGACTGACTGTAATATCAATATCAAAATATTGTTGACTCACCAACACTTCAGCTCCCATTGTACTTGTGTTAGCAAAACAAATTAATTTGGGAGGGGTGGTGATGAAATAATGGCAATCATTTGGGGAATAATCTTAAGGAATAGAGTAGCATACAAGAGGAAATTAGGAAGGGTGAAGACTCCTGTACAGTATAAATATCTTCATGGACTAGGTGGCCTGAATGGTCTATTTTGGTGCTGTATCATTCTATCTTACACTGTTTGCAACAAAAAAAGTTTTTTTCATTGTAAAGGCTCAGTGAAGATATCAATATATTTAGCAATCTGCATAAAATAGACTCCATGGATGTCTCCTGTGGTTCAAGAAGTTTGATTCTGAATATTTTAAGCTTTAACCTATAATTTGATTTCATAACCCCTTCAAAATGTAAAGAACAATTAAACACCAATACCATGCTGTTGCTGCCCCTGCCTGTATGTTGTCCTTACCTTCAACCAGTGAAGTTAGAAGGGTAACGTTTGCTGCTTTCCTTCTGCCAGCTGGTAAATTTAATCCCAACCTGTCCAGTTTCTCTCTTAAACATCGACCACCATTCTTAGATTTTGCTCTGCAAATATAAGCATTGTTCATTGTTAACGTGATTCACAATGAAAACCACCAAACAACATTATAATAGATAATAATAATCCTTGCATTTGATATAATACCTTATCACATCATTCAGATGTGCTTTGCAGGATATACTGCAAAATGATTTGGCTACTGTGTATTTTGTGGGCCGAACGTTATTGAGTGAAGTGAACAAATCGGACATGTACAAATACTTTCAACTCAAATCAATTCAAATATTGACTTGATTTTTCAAGAAGCTACCTGAGACATTCAACCTAGTTTAGCCTATAACCATCTTATCTAACATTTAAAATCACATAGAATTGTAGAAAATGTCTTCATTTTTTTTCTTGATTTGGAAGCTGGTTTTCAACTGGCTTCCAAGTTAAGATGAATTTTAAAACATTTCTGCAATTCAGTGCAAACTTATATTTTAAGACAAAATAATCTTACAGGCTAGATAACATTTCAGGCCTCTACTAGTTTCTTTGATCCATGTTATATTGTCACTTCAACTGGTAACTACTTAAGCGATCTGAGACGCCACCCAGCATGGAGGGCACTATATAAATGCAAGTTGTTGTTTGTAGTTAAGGGCCTTAGCAATCCATCAATGTTGGAATGCTTTGATGATAAAAGGGCTTATGCATTGGTTAAACATCAGAAAAAATAGTAATCATTAGACTCAAAGGTAAGAGAATCTGACATGGAAACTATCAACTAAAAAATATCATAATATCAAATATTTTCAGCATGGAATTCTTGGTCCAAATGGCCTGTTTATGTGCCATGTCATCTTATATAACTGGTATTCTAGGAGGAGTATTTTGACCTTATGATATCTATATACTCTGGTTTGCATAATGCAATGCTTATCGATTCAAACAAGTGATGAATTGAAATCAATTAGACTGAAATATATTCACTTAGTAAGATTTTTATGATACACAATATAATTAAACAATATTGTGCATATATAGATATATACAGTATAGATATATATACACACATACAGTATATATACAGTATATATGGGCACTAAAAACAAGACTTTTTTGTTATATTTCGTAATTGATTCCTTGCTTTTTACTGAACATGCTTTTTTATTAGACGTTTCTTTCACTGCTGTTGCCTGATCCATAAAATATTGGATTGCTTAAGAAATGCTCTTTGTTCCCTCTGTGATACATTTGCACATCAGTTCACATAAAGCCACGTGGCCTCACTGCTGCAGCTGTACAGATTGCTGGTGGGCAACAGCATGTGGTATGATACTGTGTACAAAGTAAATTATACTTTCAGGTAAGTAAGTTATATTTAAAAGGAGTTGGAAAAGGGGCAGCAAAAGGCAAAGCGGATAACAAGCAAATGTGCAAACTATTTGCCATTGGAAAAAGAAAATGTGAAACAAATACTGTAACTCACTTTATATATTACATAATACGAATATTATCAAATACATGGGATTGTTTTAATCCTATTTACTTTCTTCCCACATTTTTTTCTCCCCTCCATTCCCTTGTAAGGGTTTGGCTTATTTTGTCCCATTCTATTCCAGTACAGTTGCACATGAGAAATATTTCATCCAAGAACTTGCTCATGAGCAATGTGAAAGAGAACTGAGTGAGGTGGAACAGAGTGAGAATTCTGTTAAGGAATTTGGTGAGAGTGGGAATTCAGTGCAGAGGGGGAAAGAGGTGCACAATTATAACATATATATGCTGTATTAAAATAATATAAAACATGGCTGGGAATATAGCAGGGAAGCTGAGACCTGTTGCATGCACAATGTGTGCCATGTGGGAATTCCAGGATGTGTGCTGGACAGACACGTGTGTTAGAAGTGCCTCGGGCTGCTCAAGCTTGAGCTGAGGTTCTGAGCTTGAGGAGAGGCTGGTGTCAGTGCATAGCATATGGGAAACTGTAGAGTTCATGGATTGAACGTTTCAGAAGGTGGTCACCCATTAGCCACAGAGGGTTTAGAAGGAGAGTGAATGGATGATCACCCGGCATGGTAGGAAGAGGGGATGGGTAGTGCAGAAATTCCATGAGAATGTGGCACTCACAAACTAGTTCTCTGTATTGAATACTGGTCAGGGTGATGACACCTCTGGGGAGGAGAGTCAAAAGCAAATGGATGCATAGGGGGACACAGGGAAGGACAGCCAACACGGATTTGTTAAAAGCATTTCTGCAACCAAAGACATGACTCTCGCATGGTACGTTGCCTTCCTGGTGCCAGGGTTGAAGACATCATGGAACGGGTGCAGAACGTTCTACAGGGGGAAGGGGAACATCCAGAAGTCGTGGTCCATGTTGGGATCCATGACAAAAGGAAAAAAAGAGCTGAGATCTTACAGGGAGAGTATCAGAGGCTGGAGAAAAAGCTAAAAAGTAGGACCTCAAAGGTGGTGATCTCTGGATTACTCCAGTGCCTCGTGCAAGTGAATATCAAAACAGCAGGATCAAACACATGAGTGCATGGCTTGAGAAATGGTGCAGAAAAGGGGGCTTCAGATTCCTGAATCATTGGGACCAGTTCTGGGGCAGGTGGATGGGTTATACCTGAACAGGGCTGGGACCAATGTCCTCACACGGAGGTTAACTAGTGCTGTGGGGAAGGGTTTAAACTACTTTCAAGGGGGGAAAGGAATTAGGATGTAGCATTGGAGAGGACAAACAATTTACATAGAGAGCTGGGAGAGATGAATAACAGTGTCATCAGTGGTACAGGTTTCAGTAGGTGAGCATCTGTACCAACAGTGATCACAACATCATTAGGTTTAGAGTGCTTATGGAAAGGGACAAGGAGCAATCAAAGGTAAAGATACTCAACAGGAAGACGGCTAATTTCAATGAGTTAAACAGGGACCTAGCCAAGGTGGACTGGAAAGAAAGATTGGCAGCTAAAACAGCTAATAAGCAATGGGAAGCCTTCAAGGAGGATCTAGTTCTGGGATGGAACAAATACATTCCCACGAAGGGGAAAGGCAGGGCATCCAAACCTCCCTGGATGAATAAGGAAATTGGGATTCAAATAAAGCAGAAAAAGGAGGCTTATTAAAAATGTCAGGTCCAAAATATAGAAAGTACGGAGAACTGAAAAAGGAAATAAGAGGGGCACAGAGATTGTATGAGAAAAGATTAGCGGTTAACATAAAAGGGAACCCTAAGGTATTTTATGAACATATAATAAAAGGTTAGTCAAAGGTAAGGTGGGTCCAATTAGGGACTAAAGAGGAAATCTTCTTGTGGAGGCAGAGGGCATGGCTGACATACTGATTGAGTACTTTGCATCTGTCTTCACAAATGAAAAGGATGCAGCCAATGCTACAGTATCAGAGGAGAGGGTAGCGAAATTGGATAAGATAAGAATAAAGCAAGAGGAGGTACTAAAAAGGTTATTGGTGCTCAAGGTAGATAAGTCAGCAGGTTCAGATGGGATGCATCCTTGGTTACTGAGGGAAGTAAGGGTGGAAATAACAGAGGCTCTGGCCACAATCTTTCAATTCTCCTTGGACATCAGGGTGGTGCCAGAGGACTGGAGGGTTGCAAATGTTACTCCCCTCTACAAAAAGGGGCAGAAGGCTAAACCCGGGAACTAGCCAGCCTAACGTCAGTAGTGGGGAAATTTGTGGAGACTATAATCCAGGACAAAATAAATTTTCCTTTAGTAAAATATGGGTTAGTACAGGACAGCCAACACGGATTTGTTAAAGGCAAATCATGTGTAACAAAACTGATAGAGTTTTTTGATGAAGTTACGGAGAGGGTGGTTGATGGTAATACAGTTGATGTAGTATATATGGATTTTCTAAAGGAGTTTGATAAAGTGCCACATAAGAGATTTGTAAGCAAAATAGAAGCCCATGGTATTAAAGGGACAGTGGCAGCATGGATACAGAACTGGCTGAGAGACAGAAAGCAGAGTGGTGGTGAACGGTTGTTTTTCTGGCTGGAGGGAAGTGCGCATTGGTGTCCCCTATGGGTCAGTATTGTGACCGCTGCTGTTTTTGATCTACATAAACGACCTGGACTTGGGTATAGGGACAACAATTTCCAAGTTTGTGGATGATACTAAGCTAGGAAAAGTAATAAACAGTGAGGAGGATAGTAGCAGACAGCAAACGGACATAGACAGACTGGCAAAATGGGCAGACACGTGGCAGATGAAGTTTAATGTGGAGAAATGTGAAGTGATGCATTTGGGGAGTCAGAATGAGGAGAGGCAATATACGTTAGATGGTAAAATCTTAAAGAGAGTGAAGGAACAGAGAGACTTGGGGTACATATAAGTAAATTTTTGAAGGTGGCAGGCCAGATAGATAAAGTTGCTAAAAAAGGTTACGGGATATTAGGCTTTATAAATAGGGGCATAGAATACAAAAGTCAGTAAGTTATTCACACGGCAAGTTGATCAGATCTGGAATGCAATGCCTAAAAGGGTGGTGGAAGCCAACTTGATAACAACTTTGAAGAGAGAAATAGATAATTATTTGGGGAGGACAAGTTTGCAGGGCTACAGGGAGAAAGCGGGGGAGTGGGATTGAATTAAATAGCTCTTTTGAAAAGAGTTCAAAGAGCCAGCACAGACACGATGGGCTGAATGGCCTCCTTCTGTGCTGTATAATTCTATGATGTATGAGACTCCACAATACTTTTGGAAGATGATTCGACCTTGGGGAAAATCACTGCTGAGATCCTGTGTTTATTCTACATGTAATAATAATAATCCTTGCATTTGATATAGCGCTTTTCACGTCAGGAGGATGTCCCAAAGTGCTTCACAGAACACACTGTAAACTGAAGTGACTGTATATTTGTGGGCGAACGCGGCAGCCAATTGCGCACAGCAATGTCCCACAAACAGTCGTAGATTGAAAATGACCAATTTATTATTGTTTTTAGTTTTGGAGGGATTATTATTAGGCGTGTGGAGTAAGGAAACTTGCCCAAGGTTTCGCCCTGCCTGGAATTGAACTCAGGTCTCTCGCTTGCAAAGTGAGTGCTCTAACCACTGAGCTACAGGACTCCACATGTACTTGTGGATCTTCTGGAAGCAACTGCAACTTGCATTGTATGGCATCCTTCAAGCTGGGTAGTGTCTCGGAGCAGCATATAGAGGCAGGATTGGAGTCTGAGCAAGGGAGGGGGGAGGTGACCACAGGCATGGTCAAAGAGGTAGGTCCTCAAGTAGGATTTGAAGATAGATAAATATGGGGAAAAGTGGAGAGATTGAGGTAGGGATTTCCAGAAAGTTGGGGGGCATGGTTGCAGAAGGCTTGGCCACTGATGGTGGTGCGGAAGTGTCAGGTGATGCACAGAAAGCCTATGTTAGGCGAAGCAAACTCTGATTGACAATCGAGGAAGAACCCTGTTCTGCCTCCATACACAGAGGCACTGAAACCAATTGAAAAGCTCTAACTCTTGTCCCAACTCAGGTCAACAAACTCAAAATAAAACAAGTATTTAACCTACTTATTTGTATAAATTTGTGCTGCACTGGGCACTGATTTTGCCCACCAGGCCATTGAGAAAGTTTATTCCCATTTGCTTTCAATTGTGCAAGTACTCACCACATTCAAACTTTTGGTTTATTAGCCTACCCTGCATAATTATAAATATCTATACAATTTACAAATATGATAATTCCTCTTAGATATAAGCAGGGTTTTTGTTTCAACAAAATATGCTAATAAAGGATAGTATTTGAAGGATTTTATATTGCTCCAATTTTGCTTCCTTTCAAGAGACTTTGAAATGAAAGTTGCACCATTTTTCAATAAGGTTTACTTAATGAACAAATCCAGAAATATGTAACATGGATTCAGGACTTCAATCTAACTACATCTATTTTCAGCGCATTGTTCCGTTGAATTGGTGTGATGTATTTCTAGTCTCTGGAATGAGCTCCCTTTGAGATTTGATAAGAAACATTGACACCTTTGTAGTTGAAAGTAAATTGTTCTTGATTGACTTATTCTTAACTACAAATAAGCTGTTGAGGACATGTTAAACTCATACCTAAGGCCTAAACCAGCTGGATCAGTTAGATTACTGAATTCAGAATAGGAAGCTATTTGATTCTCTCAGTTAAAAATCAGCCGCTGGCAATTACATGTTGATTTTTTTATCATTTGATCTCAAGGAGGAACAAAAACGTGTCTTGTATTTGTCCTTTAAAAAGGCAGATTAGATAATTAATAGACAGACTGAGAGTCACATCCACAATTAACATGATGGTTTGTAACTTGTGAAAATGATCAGCCAGAAGTGAAAGTGGTAAGTTATTCTGGAGGTAATAAGAAACTTCTTGTGTTAATTAATAAAAGGAACACATTATGAAATATCACAAACATCACCACTTTATTTCCCTTGGGAGTTAATGGTGATAGCACTGTTTGTGGAACATTAGGAAGGAGACTTAATCGGTGAATGGTAAGGAATGAGAAGTCTATTGTGGAGTTGTTGTACTTGCCCTGTAGAAAGTGCAGTTTCATAAACAAAATTACCATTCAATAATCTAGCCTTTTTATGTCTCATATCATTTCTTGGTGATTGGTTACTTTGGATGATTGTTGTGGTGTTTTCTTGTGAAAACCTTTTTAAACTTAGGATATAATAACTTTTAAAAAAGGCTCAAGGAATATTCTTCCCTCCAAGACTGAAAGTTGGTAAGGGGAAATTGCTAAGGGATTTCCAGACAGTGGAATTAAGACACAACAGTGAAGGTACTTGTAACAATGGGTGCTCACAAGTGCATTCCTGCCATAAAACCTAACATGGACTTTCTCTCAACACAGCAGGTTGTTGAGTTTAAGATGCTGGACTCATCAAACAGCTTGATGCTATGATGGGAGGGTGAATATTCTGGAACAATGAGATCAAATGGGCCAAAGGGCTTTCTTCATCCGAATCTCTCTTATGATCTTCTGGTTCACCTGCCTGCCAACTGGGGAGGTTTGATGAGAAAGTGACAGCCTATGAAGAGAAACTTGGGCTTAAAAGAAAATGTTGACAATTTAGAATCCCTTTCTTATTTTACTGACGCATTTTATATTTTTTCTTCAAATAATTAAATTGAATATATTTGAATATACATATTAGTAGTCAATTGTGATATTTCTTAATGATATTTTTATTAATTATGAAATCTAGGTGCATCATATTTACTCATGAGAATGCTCCAACTCAATCTAGTTTCAGAACAGGGTTCCTTACATCAATATAAGACGCTGCCTATTATTGGAAGATGACCCCAATTCAATTTTGTAATTGAGAAATCTCATTAACAAAATGCTGCACAATTGGCCCATTAAATGCAAACCTGGCTCAGGGTATACCTATTAAAGGCCACCTGTTAAAGGGAGCATTGATTGGTAGCATAGCTGAATGGAACAAGTTTCTAGTTTACACAAAAAAGACTGAGGCTGCTGCTTCACAAATACCATCTCCAGCCAAACTGCAGGAACTGACAAACCTATTTGACTTGACTTCGTGCAAAAAGGAGATTACATGGAGGCAACAATGCCCACTATAAGGGGCATAAGGAAAAGGAAACTAATAAATCCTGTATTTTTTTTTCAGAGCCTATATCTTTAGTATAAAGATTAAGATGATAATTGTGTAGCAGGTCTAAACCCCACGCCGATTTTTCAAACACTGATATATTGTATCCTCATTAGCAAAAGGAACAATATATTAAATCCTCTGTAAAACACGTCACCCTCTAAACACACAATTCAATAGTAATATATTTTTGGGGGATGTGTGTTGGTCTTCTGAACATGCCCTAACTGAAATAATCTTTATGTAAAGTAATCCAATAATCACAACCAAGTGATGAGTGTATTGGTGTGATTAGTTACAAAGTAAACTCACTGGGACACTACCCTCCATGAGGAGCACTATATAAATGCAAGTTGTTGTTAATATTGTGATTCATTAATTCACATTAAGAAATAGGAACAGGAGGAGGCTGTTTAGCCCTTCGAGCCTGTTCCGCCATTTAATTAGATCATGGCTGATCTATACCTCAACAAATCCTTTCAATTCCAATTTCCTGCTTTCTCCCCAAATCCCTTATTACTCTGACCAACCAAAAACTATCAACCTCACTCTTGAAGATATGGATGGATCCAATATCCACGGCTTTTTGGGGGAAAGAATTCCAGATTTTTACCACCCTTTGAGTGAAAAAATGCTACTTGATGTCACTCTTAAATGGCCTGGTTTTAAGACTATGCCTTCTTATTTTGGATTCCCCCACCAGAGGAAATAGCTCCTCTGTATTTATCCTATCAAATCCCTTTATAATCTTAAATACCTCAATCAAATCACCCCTCAACCTTCTAAAATCAAGGGAATACAATCCAAGTTTACCCAGCCTTTCCTCATAACATAACCCTCTTAGGCCTGGTAACATTCTGGTGAATATTACTGATATAGGACTGATATATTTCCTGATATATTCAGGACTGATATATTTCCATATCCAATTGAAATCTACCTGTACAACCAATTTAGATGGTTTCTTTATTGCTCAATTCTGATTAACTCATTATTTCTGGGCCACTACTGCTCATTCCAGCATAAAGTGAACAGTAGACATTGACAGCCATAGTAAACAGGATATTGCAATGCCACAAAGAGATAAAGGGGGATCTAAAATATCAGCCAGCCATAAGACACATAACCCACCACAATGCATTTTTCTTTTCTAATAGTGTCCGTACGCTATTCAAAATGAGACATTTTCAATGTTAGGGAAATTAACATTTTCAAGATTAGCTCATATGAAGAAATGCCCTTCAGCCCATTTGATTTCATCCTTCCAGAAAACCCATCCTACCATTCATTCCATTATAGGTATTAATCTATTTCTGAAATGAATCCAGAAAGTAGCAAACCCTTCCTTGGTAACCTTGCCCCACACTCTGGAACTCTATCCCACAATCTGTCCATCGTACCCCCTCTCTTGCCTCCTTCAAGTCCTGTCTGAAGACATTCATCTTCGACCATGCTTTCAGCCACCCTTCCACCCCCACTGCCCTCCTCCCCTTCTGACCCCAACTCCCAGCTCGGGTCCAAAACCCCTGATTGTCCAGTGCCCTGGGACATCTTTACAACGTGAAGGGCACTATACAAGTGTAATTTGTTGTTGCTGTTGGTCACCGCCTGGATCACGCCTTCCTGTTTAAGACCCTGTGACCCCATTTTACTTGAAAATCTTAAGCCCTTTCAGGTAGCCAGTCAACTACTGTATACATCATTAGTTTGGAACAGTGCAAAGCCTACAATTCATGATATTTAAATAAATCCTTCCTTGGAAAGGTAATCAGCCACCAAGACCTAGGTTTACAACATCAAAGCCATTTCAAGTTCCTTTATAGACAGATGTCAAAAATACTGTCATACTATTCATTGGAACAGGATTAAAAATGCAGAAAGCAAAGGGCAATATGTTAATTAATTTCTCAGTATTCAAGAAGGCAATGCTGTCCTTGTTTTTTTAACCATTTAACTCGTGTAAGGAAGTACATGACCACAGAAGTACATTCAGACTGTCAACTCACTATAACTTTTTATTGTCGATTTTACGCTCACTATTGTTGTAGCTAAAATTTACCTTCGTAAAATTCCTCCTAAAAGAGAAGCATTGAGACATTCTGGTGGTGACAGACGCCTTTTTACTTCAGCAATTGTCACTTTATACTTTGATGTGGAGCTGAGTAACGATAGACGACCAGGAACAGAACAGAACAGGTCTGTTGGATTTACAACACATGTGCTCCCTGAAAATTAACATAAATAGGTTACAAAACATGAATCAGTTCATTTCAATTGTTTCTAAAAGAGACGACACTTAGAAACAAATAATAAAAAAAGTTACCTTAAAGCATTTTAGCTCATTGACATCAGATTAAAAAAATAGCAAATTCTACATAGGAAGTTGAAAAGGTAGAATTCTTATTGTCAATCCACTCATTATTCATGCTGGTAGCTTTTACCAGACACTAGCATTTGCTTTTATTTCTTTAAACTCTGAAGCTGCTAATGATATCAATCACCTACATGATAATAGTGAACCATTACGCTATTGTTGCTCAGTCAGCTGTTAACATCTGCCATCATGAAACAACACTGATGAGACTCATGCAGAACCTTTACTATCAAATGTAGTGAGATACAGCCCTTTTAAAGTGGCAGCAACTCCCCCATGCCACCCCACACCACTGCTGGCCAACACCAGATACTTGGTACATTTCCATGCTGGTAGATTGTAATGATATATTGCTGATGGTCGTGCTGGTTAACACTCTGTAACCATTCTAAATGTCCATTCACTACGCATACCTGTGGCTGGCATGGGAGCCTGTGTGTGTGTGTGTGTGTGGCAGAAAATGTGCTGCCTGTATAAAAACCTCAGAAAGGAATTTGCTCAAATTATGTCCCAGAGGTGGAAGGATTTGATTGTTAATTTAGGGTGTTACTTTGTCTGCACAGTGACAATTCTCCCCCAAATCCCTCTATATCACCATCCAGGTCAATCCTCTCAGTAGAAACAACCACCCCAAATCAGCATGATGGGTGCTTATGTTTTGGAAGGGAGATGATTTAAACATAAATTAACTGTATAATCATGCACTACAATAGACAGTCGTTATCACTTAGCAACATAGCTTGACAAACAATGTTTCCATATTATTTGAAAATGTGATTAGTTTTTGACAGTACACGGGAAATCTTTAAAACTACAGAGAAATATTTTCGTAAAATACTGATCGGGAGTTTTGTAATGCAGTCATTAAAATATGTCTTGCTTACAGTCATTATGGATTAAAAGCTTTCTCTCTCCCCATATACCCAACCTCTGCGCACAGCAGTGTTCCACAAACAACCGTGGAATGAGTGACAATTGTTTATTTTTTTGGAGGGATTAGTACCCCTAGAAAGCGATCAGTCAATCAACTAACAACCTTATTCCAAAATGAAAACCAAGAGTGATGTTTTTTGTTTTCGAACAGACAGGCAACAATTCCTACAGTCACCACTGGGTGTTGTTAGCTCTCAAAGCAATGAATGAAAGTGTATCTTATTACATAATGTACAAACAATAAACTGTTAGTTAAAGGGATTTTTCTCCATTTTTAACACAAGTGAGACTCTCTCATATACAACGTAACTATGAAAAATTGACTATATTGAAAATAATAAGAAGAAAAATGACATGAATGGCATCTATGAGATTTTATTTCAGTTAAATTTTAACTGTCTTTTGCTCATGTGATGCAGAATGAATAACACAATGCAAGATTATATTTGTATAGTGCCTTTCACATCAGGAGGATGTCCCAAGGCGCTGACAATTAAGACCTGAGCAGGGGATGGGGGGGGGTAGAATGATGGTCGAAGTCACGGTTGAAGAGTAGGGTCTTGAGGCATGCATTGAAGGAGGCAAGGGTGGGAGCAAGGCGAAAGGAATGTGGAATGGAGTTCTGGGGGTGGGGGCAGAAAGGCTAAAGGCCTGACCGCCGATGGTGGGGCGGGCTGGGTGGGGGACATGGAGCAGGTTGAATCCTGCTGAGCGGAGGGAGTGGGCAGGTTGTTAGCAGGTCAGAGAGATAGGAGGGATAAGGCCATGGAGGGCTTTGAAGGTGAAGATAAGAATTTTGAACTCGATCCTCTGAGGGATAGGAAGCCAGTGTAGCAAGGCGAGGGTGGGTGTGATGGGGTCATGGAGCCTGATGTGGGAGAGGACATGAGCTGCAGTGTTCTAGATGATTTGCAGCTTGTGGAGGGAAGAGGTGGGAAGGCCAACAAGCAGGGCATTGGCCTAGTTGAGCCTGGTTGTAATAAAGGCATGTATGAGGGTATCGGTGAACTGAGGGGTGAGGCAGTGCCAAAGTTGGTCAATGTTGCGGAGATGGGGGAAGGCAGAGTGGGTCATGACACAGATGTAGGGGAGAAAGGACAGTCGAGGGTTGAACAAGACACCTAGCTAGGTTCCTGACTGGCTTGGTGAGATGGAGTTTGTATTTGTGGATGCTGATGCTACCAGTGCCTGAGGTGAGGTGGCACTGACTCGAGCCAATCAGGAGAGCCTCGGTCTTGCTGACGTTCAACTGTAGAAAGTTGGCTCTCATTCAGGAATTGATGTCTGACAGACAATCTGTCAGGACATTAGTGGTCCTGGGGTCGAAGGTGGAGGCAGAGAGATAGAGTTGGGTGTCATCCACGTACATGTAGAAGTTGACCCCGTGTCTGCGGATGATGTCACCAAGAGGAAGTGTGTACACGTTGAAGAGGGGAGGACTGTGGACAGAGCCCTGAGGAACACCACACGAGACTGAGTGGTGGCTGGAAGAGAAGCTATTTGTAAGACAACAACAACAACAACAACAAGATTCCATTTATAAAGCGCCTTTCACGTCAGGAGGACGTCCCAAGGTGGAGCCCATGTGTGAGATAGGATTTGAACCATCATTAGTTGGGCTATTATGATTAATAATAACAATTAATTACTTACCTAATAATAATAATCCTTGCATCTGTCCCTATAGGATTTTATTAATTTCCAAATACACTTACACATTTTTCATTTTTTCCATTATTCTAATTTGTGACATTTTGGTTCTGATTTGCATAATTTAGTTAATTAGAAATATATTGGGCATAGATCTAAATGCCAACCTGTTAATTTTTTGTTTGACACAATTTAAACTATTATTTATAAATTTAGGAGGAATGCAAATGTTAATACATACACCACAGACACAAACACACATACACACTGTTCATCAACCTTACATTTGATATAGTGCTTCATCAGGAGGATGTTTCAAAGCTCTTCACAGGATACATTGTAAAGTGGAGTGACTATGTATTCTATGGGTGAATATGACACTCAATTTGTGTACAGCAATCTTCCACAAACAGCAGTGAAGTGGCATACAAAACCTGTGTGCAAACCGTTCTCCTTAATGATACTGAGCATCTGGGGATGCAGAGATTGGACTTCCTCCAACCCATTTGCAAAGCCAGGTTCAAGCAGCGAGGTGGATTTCTGGTAAATATGGGAAGTGGCTGTAAGGAGGGAAGGTTCCAGATGAATCTGTCAGTGAGCACATTGGAGATGGAGTCAGCTTCGCAGCGGGCACGTCTATTTGCCAAAGCCCCACAACACATAAGTACCAAAATTAAACAGCTGGGGCTGAGTAAGCTTGGTATGTGGCATTGGACTTGTAGGTTGAGAACAGCAAGGTGGCTGAAACATCACAGGCTGTCCTGTAGCACTCTTCCCACCTCACTGAAGGCAGATGTCATAAGATAGCTGATGAGGAAATTGAGTCTTGGAGTATCAGCTGGTGGGAGGCATTACGTGAGTTTGTGAACACGCGTTTGTATATCCAGGACATAGAATCCAATTTGATTGATTTGCAGAGAGGTAAGCAGATACTGCTCAAGCTCCAGACTTCCAATTGGTGGAACCATCACTCACTGGGAAGGGATATTTCCAAGCTGCGGACAGGAAGACGGTGGCAATGTTCTCATGCACTTCACTCTGAGCTATGTTGCCCAACAGGAAGCTCACAGGGAGTTTGTGGTACTTGCCATCCACTTAATTAGAGCTCAAACCAGTGCTTGTTAGATTTCAATTGACAAAGTGGCTATCTTAATAAAATGGAGGTTTATGTTTAAAAAGTGTTGTTAGATTATAAGCTAAATGAGTTTAGAATAATATTTGATCTGACAATATTGTACACGTAGATGCAACACACTATCTTTGGAATGTCAGTCGCTTCTGAACAATTTATGCTCCATGGGGAGGTGGGGGGGGGGGGGGGGGGGGGGGTGTAAAGCAGAGTCTCCCTCGAGATGAACTAGCTCCCATGTGACATACTTGGCAACAGAATGTCAGAATTGAACCAACCCTTACCTAACAAATATCAATTGATCTCAGAAGTGAAAATTCTAATTCACTCAGCATTCACAGTCTTTTGGGGGAGAGAATTCCAGATTTCCACAATCCTTTGTGTAAACAAAAATGCTTTCTGATTTCACTCATAGTTGGCTGTGATCTAATTTTTATATTATGCCCCCTTGTTGTGGATTCTCTCACCAGTGGAACTAATTTCTCTTTATCTACCTTATGGAGTCCCTTTATCATTTTAAACAACTCGATCAGATTACTGCTCAACCTTCTGAACTCCAGGGAATATAAACCAATTTTATGCAACCTGTCCACATACATGGTATCATTCTGGTGAATCTGCAATCTACCCCTTCCAAGATCAATAAATCTTTCCTGAGGTGTGTTGCCCAAAACTGAATACAGTACTCTAGATGGGATCTGACCAAGGCTCTGTACAACTAAAGGAGCACTTCTTCACTTCTCTATAATTACGTCAGAGTCTTGTCACTGCTCTGGCATCATTGCTTCTATAATCATCTGAGAGCACCTTCACTCTCCAGCTAGTATGATGCTACAATCCACTGAGAATTATGCCACTCCTCACTCAGTGTTGCTCAATCACCACCTGTGACAATGCTACTCTATCACCAGCTGCACAAAAGTGCATGAAATTGACCAACGAAAATATCTTTCCTTTCTTTGCAACACTTTGAGATGCTACTCCACTATCCAATGTGAAGGACTCTATGTAAATGCAAGTTGTTGTTGTTCCTTCTTTCCTATGACTTTTATCTCTGTGCAGTATTCTCCACATCAGTGTCAGTTGTTAAAATTCACATTATAGGAAATCATAGGTGCAAATCTGTAATGCAAAAAGAT